TCATAAAATGTTTCATTTGGTGTGCTAGTTTGCAATAATTTTCAGAGAAATTTTGTATGTAAAATTTATATTCTAGGAAAATTTCAGGTCCTGAAAATATTCTGCGCTTGTTACATTCTTTACTCCATGAAGTTCAAACAATAAACAAGAACCAACTTACTATACTAGAAAAATTATGATGAAAATAATAGTAGAAAAAAGCCAAACTATAATTAGAAAAACAATGACATACAGATTATGCCAAATTAGTTCAGGGATAAAATCTAATAATCTAATTAATAATTCTAACATTTGTTCTTAACATATTTAAAATTGATGTTTATATATACAGTAGAGCATTGATTATCCGACCCCCGATTAACCGTCACATCGGTTAACCGACCGTTCTAGTTGGCAAATTTCAAATGTCCACTAGTGATGTGGCGCTACAATATTTGGCTATGTCTTGGATACTTTAATATTATTTTTGTTAAATTTTTGCATGTTTTAGCTGGCGTCATCAGCTCGACCATTGAAGAGAGGCCAGTATTTAAACGAGGCTTAATTTTCTAATTATGAGGGGTTGTTTGTTTTGTGAGCAATAAAATAATTTAAGAATAATTTTTAATGATACAATAGTGACGATTATTATTTTAAAAAAATTTGTTAGGCTACACATCGATGAAAATTCAATGCAAAGTTGGTTAATAGCGATATACTAATATACTAATTACATGGGATATAATAATATACTATACAGTAGAGCCTCGAAAACTCGGCACTCGATAACCCGGCACTCCGGATAACTCGGCCACACCCTGGCAGAGCAAAAAAATCCTTAGTTAATTAATTTTCATGATAAAGACAGCTTTATGCCTCATAAAGTATTTTTCTGAGGTCTATCTTATCAGGTAAATTACTGTACACAGTGTATTCATTAATTTTCATTTTCATGTAGTAAAGGCTCTATGCCTTCATAAAGGACGTACTTTTCCTTTGTTTAAGGGTATTTGGGCAGTTTATTCTCTGTTGTATTCTCAAGTAAACAATACA